ATCAGAGCGAATGGGAGGTTTTATACACAGAATTGTATACATTTTCTTGCCCATAGCCAAGTTTTACCAAGGGGGAGCTTTTGCCAAGGGGGGACCTTTTAACACTTTTGGCTTAAAAGTGTGAAAAAGTGCTCAGATTGGTGAAAACTGCATGATTTTGAAAGAATAAGTGGCTGGAGGGGGTTTCCTCTCTGGCTACGAGCCTGCTTTTTGAAATAGAACCCAGGTTGTTATATTTTGCAACTAAGTGAGAAAAACCCTCCAAGATCAGGCTACACTGCCATGTAGCTATAGAGAGCATTGAATACCCTTGGACCAAGTTGAAGAAAAAGTGTTTTATAGAACTCTGCCATACATTCTATTGTTTATTTCACACCAGCATTCTTCTCTTAAATAATCAATACATTAAGAATAGAAGAAACTATTCTCATAATAGTCTCCTTGATTATAGTGAAACATGATATTCTACAAAGCTCTTATAGCCTTGTATTTTGTTGTTAATATATAACTACATATTGAACTAGCAATGCATGCTTCTATTCTATTGTATTTTGCTACATTGCTTTTCAATCTATTAGAAATTTCTTCAGAATACTATTATTTAATTCTAGAATATTATTGGGTGATTTTTTAGAAAAAGGTTATTTTTGGAATGACAGGTCTTAGGTATAAGAATTGTGAACAAAAAACACTAATATAACTGTACTCTTTATTTAGTTTAAAGGAACGGATTGTGCAAGATTCTAGTTTTACAGTAGATTTGTAATGAAGCTGTCAACTGGAGAGAGATTGAACATAATGGGGATATTGAAACTTGAATCTAGGTTAATTTATTACTCATAAAATTATTGATTTATCTGAATCTCATTTCAGGTCAATGTTATTGTGTATTTTCTATTATTGTTAACATCTCAGTTGAAATTGCTCATTCTGATTGGTCAAGAGGGAGTCAACAGTTATCCAGATATTGCATTGCTGGTTTATTTTTTGGGGAGGATGACACATCATGATAATGAATCAAAGGAGAAGTCGATAGAATTTGAATAATTATGAGTGTTCAGTTTCGGTAAATTTTGAGTGTTCAGTTTCGTTGTAGATTTTCATTCACCTCTGTCTCATTAGCTTAATTCAAGGATTTCAACATTAATTGTTCATTTATCTTGAAAGCCCATGTTTTCATCAAGTTCATAGAATAAATTTAAAAACTGTTACTTTCCATCTATGATTTCTTTAAAATCCCCAAGTCACACAAATCAATGGAATTGATAGCAGAATCGTGTAACTTATTATTTTGGCATAAAAATCTACTTAAAATTGCCTCATTAGCTTTAGGATATAATATATAAATAACTTAATCAATAAAACGTTATAACGAGTCTATGTTTATAACAGACATTTATAGATTCATATTTTTATTAATTATGTAACATGCAATTTTCTTGACATTCTATTGTATTCTATCATTCAGAATTCATGTCATGAAAATATAATCGCCTACATGCTCTAGATGCTGCACGCAAGATAATTTAATTATCTAATAATAATATAAAGCGATGTTAGAATATTAATTATTTATTTCATGTATTTATATGTTTGAATTTTTTGTTTTACAGTGTTTTTATCAGATAACTCTATAATGTGTTTTCAATGTTTTCATCGTGCAATTAAGTGTTTGAATTCCGTAATAACTTTACAGAAGTTCATGTTGCGAGAGACTTGTAATATGTTTATTCTGTGTAATAAAATGTTGACAATGTGTTATTAATATGTTTGCATTGTGAGAATTTATTTGTTAGATGTCTTTATATTGGCATGTAATAACTATCTTAGATACCTTCAAGATACCTTAATGCTCTTTCCTGAGACTGATAATATAAGCTTAATAAAACCAAGCAAAAATAAATATCAGATTGTATTAGATTCGCTAAAAGTGTAACCACAATTTTACTTTAGCCATGTTTTTTGTAAGATGTATTCTTGTGTATGTCATTGTACCAAGTTAATTGTTAAGCAATAAGTATCACACTTTTCAAGAAATGTGACCCTGATATTATTTTCCAGAGAAGAAAAAAAGAATGTTTTGTCACAGACTATAACTCATACAACTTATTCCAGCATAATTATAAAAAACAATGATGCATTTTATTGCTGGTTATATAGTAACATCTACTTTCTTGATATATTTGTAATCACAAGGCATTTAAATTCATTGATTGGTTTAAGATTATAACTATTGGTAGCATGTTATTGGTTGGATTGATTGCGAATCTCAGAACAGGTGGTAGAGAGTGCATCTATAGGCTCCAAGTCTACTTGGAATATTATATGGGAAAGTATTGATCTCATTCAGTGCATACATTACACCCGGGCTGCTGCTTCCTCTTGAAAGAACCAGGGTGGCATAATCAATACACCTAACAGATCACTGGATTAACACCCAGCATATATAGATACAAAACAAGAAGAGGATAAAGTGGATAAATTGAGATGCATACCTCAGATTGATACATTGTGACACATTTGGGATTTGGATTAGACCTGAATGTTGAAACCCTGTAGGATTAGTAAGTTGAAGGATTGTAGGAAGTACTATTGATTCCTATATAATTGTGACACGGTCTGAGAGACGCTTCCTGATATTAAACCTATTTCAGTTTGGATTTAACTCATTTGGATTTTATGTCACAGAATTTATAACGGATTAATAAAGCATAGGATATTTCTAAATTAAGGAGATAGTTTAAAAGGTGGGTAGGCGGAGGTATATTAAGGATAAAGCAGGCCTTGAGAGCAGTAATAAAAATGTCTACAAGAATGGTTTATGTGAAGATTTCCCAAGATTCTACAATTGTAAATTGATGAAAGTTGGAAGTATTATTGTGTAATATTCACACATTGTATAATTTTAGATTGATTCAAAGGATATAATTAGAGTGCAATTAAAATGTATTCTCTGTGGATATATTTTATATCTGTCTGTAGACAATGAATGTGGAATATATTACTCATCGATGAATTAACCATATGGGATAACAATAAAAAAATAATTTATTTCATAAAAATCAACTTGTAGAAATCTATAATAGATTATACACATTGATTGATAATATACCATTTCCTTCATGAAACTTAATATTTGTACGATCTATATATTTTGATAATTTTAATTCTGATAAGTCAGTGCTGTTACAAATGACCCCTTGACTATTTTGTCCTACCTACATATGTATATCTATCGAGTCTGCATAAAATAAGGGGAGGGGGGGCATAAGTGCTTGACTTACCAGGAATATTAAGAGGCAACTATTTAAATTAAGGAAAACTTGTGCAATCTAATAATTTGACCAGTCAAAGTGTTCAGTTCAGCAGGTGTTCACATTTTAAGGTTTCTTAATATGTGAGTCAATGGGAGATGTTCACAATTTGAAAGGTGTTCAAATTTAGAGGTGTTCAGATATACAGGTTTTACTGTAGTTGTTCTCCTGAATTATTCCAGCTTCTAGTATTTGAGAACTGCACAACCTGTGTGATATATATTAAATATTAATATTTCCAATTGTAACAAATGATGGTGAAGTAGACCTCCAGAGAGAAGATAAGCGACATATTGTCCTTATATGGATTTTCCTCGCATTTACTAGATAGAAAATATTGACTTTCTCATTAAGACCTATCATTTTGTTCACTGCTATATTGAAATGATGATGAATTGGTTTTGAGAAAAAATATCAGCATGATGTATTGACGTATTGACCAAACTGACTGTGATTAAGCAAATCTATCATAGTTTGATGTGTAAATATAACTTCAGCCTCTTTCAAAAATGGGTTTGAGTATATGAAAAATGAGAAAATATGAATATTTATTATTTGTTTATTGTGATTTTATTAAATTGGTCTGGTTTAATAGCGACTTGAAGTGTGTTTTGGAGAAGTTTAAAATGTGTCTGAGATATTCATTGAATTTAGAATCAGGATATAATCAGTTTTAGTTGACCAAGATGGCTATAGGCCTGTAGCAAGCTTTTGCCAAGTAGGAGTTCACTTTCAAAAATATCCAGGGGGTTCGCATTTGACAATTTTGACTCAAAATCACACTCAGAATGGTTAAAACTGTATGATTTGGAGAGAATTTTTGGCCGTGGTTATATTGAGTAAATATGAATGTATGCAGAATATTATAGATGACAAAAGTATGAATGAGATTGCAGGAGTACATGCACAATAGGGAGCATTTTCCTATAATTGAATTCATTGGAAGTCTTCACTGTTCCTCAGATGCAATTATGTTCTGCAGAGAATTATAAGCTCATACATATATTGCCATATCAAAGTGTTTGGTACGCTCATTCCTTTTGTTAAAATAATTTTCTATAGTGCTAAGCTACATCCCTGTAAAGTTTTATTTCTTAAAATCTACCCCATCCTTGGTCAAAGGGTATTCCAATTCATGAGCTGGGAGAGTGAATGCTAGATTTTGAAGGATGGATCTACCCATAATAGATATACATTGATGCATATTGACACAGCCTAGTTCTACTTGTATGTTGTCAATGAATCTCTCTTTTGTGAAGCAAAAATCAGACTTTTGGAATGATTATAACTCTTGGACATTTTTGGACCAAAATTATCAAAAGTGAACCCCCCCTGGAATTTTTCAAAAAGTGAACCCCCTTGGCAAATCCTGGCTATGGGCCTGTACTCCCCCCTTGATCTCTCCCCCTCCTTCAAAATAAAACACTGTTTACATGATTGTATTCTGAATATTCTATATAAAGGTAAGACAGTTGAGCAGAAATGATTGTATTAGGGATGATCATTGAAGACACTAGGAATATTTATAAGGAGTTGGTCTATGTGGCATCTTTACTGTATTTACTGATGCAGGAATTGTTTATCTCAATCCAACCTCGGTAAAACTAATTTCACTTCTGCAGTGGCATTTCTCCTCAATTTGTTTGCAATTTCATGATTTGTGATCATCTTCATTCTGTTTTGCAGCTCGATGTGTGTACCCAGATGACCTTATCCATATAGGCCTAGAAGACAGCTCTGTATAGGCCTTTGAGAGAGCCTGTAAAGGCCTAGAAGACAGCTAGCATGGGGAGTGAAAGATGGATACCTCTGGGCTATTCAGTCTGCAGTCTCCTTGTAGCAGTGGTCCTAGCTAATAAAGGTGAGAGGAACTACATGTACACGTTTCTGTGTTGTCAAAACAGTATACTAAAACACAACATCGTGTCTTACAAACTTGCTATGCACTGAGCTTGAAATATTAGTCAGAAATGGTAATTAGCCCTGGGGCTCTATGTAAAATTGACTCAAATTGAGACATCTTCAGATTTTGACACAAGAATACATGTAGGTCTATTGTGATATATACAATCACAAGTTTGTTTTTAAAGAGTGTTGTGTTTTAACAATAGAACCTAAAGAATCCCCAAATTTGAATTACATTCAGTTTAATGTCATACCCCTAGCCCACCCCATCATACCTATTTTCATAAAACCATGTACCTATCATTATTTTCCATTTGTATTTCAGCATTCAGTTGACTTTTCATTATGTGTTGTTGTGTTTAGTTGTAGAAGAACTTCTACCTAAATCCAATCATTTCACTGTTGTTTTAACTGATCAGTAAGATATTCAGGATGTTATTATTGGGTGATTATCTGGTACAGGGTGACAGATGTCCTCAAATATGTTAATAAGGGTACTACTGTCCTTAAACAGTATATACAGTCAGCAAAACCATAGAGATATTGTCAATGACCAAGCTAATTTGATAAGCTCAAATCTGAGCAGTTTCCCCAGTTTATATGTTTCTCTCTATAGTTGGCATGTTGTAAGTTGAAATAGATGTTCTCATTGTTCTGAAATGAGGTAAGGGAAAGGAGAAACATTTGAAAATCAACAGGATTTAGAAAATATGTGTTATTAGATATGGGAATGTAAAAGGACATGGTGCTTTCCCAGGGCTAATATTACATTACATTGCATATGCTTTGGTTCTGGTCTATGGTGCAAGAGACCATTTGTCATAAGCATTCATTTTGTGGAGCACAATTTTTGAAATTCAATATTTTGATGAATAATCATCTACTCTTATTTCTTCCTTTCTTCAAGTCTAGTATCCCCATCACTGTTTTGGGGTGTAAACGTCATACTTGGTCTTGATGCATTGTCAGAATGTATTTTTTGTATTAAGCCTTGTTTTATCCCAAGACTGACTGCTCTTACCAGCAACCCATTCAGGGCAGTCAGACAGGCCACACAGCCTTAGTTCATCATTGAATTACCCATCAATAAACATCTTTCACTATAACAGTACTAGTCTGACCAACAAAATCATGTATCATTTGAAATACTAAAAAACAGGCGGCTCATTGTATGTTCATCCCTATTTGAAATAACCTGAAGTTGAAATTCAAGCATTTTCTAGGATATAAACACCCTGATAAGAATTCTTGAAACAAATGTAATCTTATTGGATTTCAACATCAAATGGTCATTTTATCCTAACTGTAATGTTTAACAATGTTCATCTATTAACATTTTCTCTGATTGGTGTCCTTAGAATGAGGTCATGAATTACTGAGCCATCAAGAATGCCATGTTTTGATAATGTAATTCCGACCTCAATGCTATTTCCACTGGTTGTTTTGAATTCTTGGAGGAATCAATATTGAAAACTAACTTGTGAGTGTACTCAGAGATCATTTGGGGTGTTTGCATTTCTCAATGGTTTGTTTGACTGCGAACATGACTTAAATAACAAATGGTTTGTCCTCATGTATGTTTATTTTTTATGATGGTCAAGCACACCAATGTCAAATTTCCTTTTGTAAATAGCCTGAAAGAAAATTTCTTTCTGAAGTGACCCATGCAAACTCACTGATATTAAGTTTTTAACTATTATTTGAACAAGTTTTTAGCAAAATGATTTCGTAGTGAATGTCTGCTTTATCTTTTTGAATCTTCATCTGATTATTTAAAACAAAATATATGAACAGTATTTAAATCAAAATCTGCTGTATCATTTCGATCATGACTCAATTTTGAACAATAAATCATTTTCAATTCTACATCTGTTACTCATTCAGAACATTATAGACTTTGATCTTGACCCTGTTTTTAGGTTAAAATTATATTGTCACTAGGTTTTTAATTATCTAGTACAATAACCCTTGGAACAAAGTCTTTTATAGAGTTGACAGTGACATTCTCACCAGTAGGTGCCTAACCCGAGCTATTGTCTTTGACCTCTGTATCTGTTATAACAGTGTTGAGAACTGTTACAGTGTATTTTGACATTGTTTTTAAGAACAAAGTCTACCCTTTATATGTATAGCACCTACACCTGTTAGGCATTTCAGATTGATGTTATTTATCATGCCTCCTGTTCAATTTTCTGTTGCTTAAAATGTCATGTTGTTCAACTGTTCATCACATGAAGTCTCTGTAGGAGTTGGTAATTCTGGACTTAGGAAATCAAGCAATGATTTCATGTTCAAATATTTGTTTCAAAAGGTTATTCTGTATTTCTGTACTTTGTGTATTATTGTTATGGTTGCGTTAATGCCATTGTTGGTATCACAGCCGCTACTTTCTCTGAAAGAGAATGCCTCACAACTGGTCTATCATGTCATGCTCAAAATGATAAGTATTTGATAAAATATTTTTTTGATCGGATTTTCTACTCTGTGGAGTTGCTATTTTTCTAGCTATACTTTTCACAGACTTCAGACATCTCTCCAATAGGGCTTCACCTCCAGAATTTTACAGATGGCCTATGGGTTTCAATGTACCATGTCAGGTGTGTGTGGTAGGATGAGAGTGTGATGTTAGTTAGAAATATTGACCAAGTGTTGATGGTAACCATCTATCATATATCCAAGTTTTGTGTCTGATATTATATGATATTGGTCTGTAGAAATAAACTCAGTTATGTGATACACGAGGCATGTCATCCACTGATGGATAGATATCTAAACAGATACACTTCACCTTGTTCCCCCAAGAATTTAATGTGTTTTTATTTGTTTTGGAAACATACAGATAGATCATTTCGTGTTTGTCACAGATTTTCAGGTTACTTGCTGGGAATATGGGGTATCTGTTTATTTCAGTTCAAAGGATTATACCTTGTGTCGCCTTTGTACTGGTTGGTCATGTGAAATTATCAGTGTATTGATCAGCTATGAATTTCCTTCTCAACATGATCTGGTGTTTAATAAATAAACTTCCAGGGTTCTGAGAATGATGGGTGTGTGGTTGTTTCATTGGTGGTTGGTTTTGGTTTCTCGGCTGATGCGTCACCTCTACTCTGGTACCAATTGCAACTGAATTACTGTTCTGGATGAAGTCACTCATCATTAACAATGCTATGTCACCCCTCCTCTTGCTGTGCTTCTTGGTAATGTATTTTGGTATGTGTTTTATCCAGGGATTTTCTGTCAGACAGCATTGGTTTCTGATCTGGTACATCAGGGATAATGGGATCTGGACATTTCTATAAAATATAGAATTTTGTCCCTTTATGACAAGATCAGTAGACCAACAGTAAAGCTAGATAAATGTATGTATTTCTTTTGGGACTCAAACCTACAACAAGGCATATTAGTTGGCTAACAGATTACCTAAACCCCTTTTACCCAAATCCTCTAACTCTCAAAAGGTTTCATTCTGGATGGTTGATCAGACTGAGAGTCTCTCTTTTTAGCACCTTGAAGCCTGCATTGCCATTTGCAAGAATGTCACTTAACTGTACATTGTGACCATCTGATGGGTTTCAGGAAATTCTTGCACTATGTTGCTGGTCTCTTTATCATCTATATCCCTATCACAAGGGATATAGAATACATATATAGTTATAAAAGGGGTACACAAATATTGATGGGAGACAATGTACCCTGATAAAAGGTTGTTGCCTTCAGCCTATCTTCTCTTCACTATTGAAACTCTCACCACTTACTTGAATTACTTCTGTTCCAAGGGATTAGTTATTCCAGTTGCATTTGTCAGTCAGGATTGCAGAGAGGCTTGACTGACTGGAGTACATGAGTGGAACATACACCAGGTAAAATGATTGCAACCCTGAGCTCAATGTAAAAAATACTACACTCTGAATAGGACCAATCGTTATACAGTTTTGCATCCAACCAGTCAGAAGGCACAACAGAGCAGTCTTTATATCCTATTCAAACATGACCGTGCTCTATTCGAATTTCTCAACCAATCAGAATGCAGCATAGCCAATATAGAACGTTCTCTAATTCTCCATAGATGCACGACCATGCTCTATTCAATCTGCAATTTGCATTGTTTTGAGTGACGTCACATCTCAGCTGCACATCTGGGGCTCTGTCCGGGGATAGCTGTTCTTTTTTACTCCCTCCGTAACTACTGTAACTATTTAACTATGGCTGACTTCAAGTTTGCAGTCGCATACACCGTATAAAATCTAAAACGGGGAGTAAAATAGAACAGCCCAAACAAATTCTAAAAATTTTCCGGCCGACTTCAGAATCTTGACAGCATGCGTATTCTTCCTTCATGCCCGTACACGGCTTTTACTAATTTTTATGTTTGAATCGGAATAAATAATGATAGGCCATTCAATATGGTGAAATTCAGCACTCGTTGGACAGAATGTTAGTACAAATGCACTCACCTTCGGTTCGTGCTTTGTACAACATTCTGTCCAACTCGTGCTGAATTTCACCATATTGAATGGCCTATCATTATTTATTCCTTAAATAATATTGACTTTGTTTACGCTGAGCTCATCAAATAATACGCTCCCCTCTGAAAAGGACCAATTGTGTATAGTTTGGCAATTAAGCAGTCATAGAACACTGTCGAGCCACACTGATATGTTTTCTTATATATATAGAGAACCATCATAGTCAGATAATTGACTGTAAGTTTCTTGGTCAATCCAGACATTCATCTGTATTATGAAGAGTTGGAGAAAGTTAATCAGTCTTACAAAGGTTATTTGATTGCCTACCATCCCCTGAATAGAAAATGTCATGCCCTTTTTGAAAATATGATGAAGAGTGTAATTTCAAGAAATGAAGTAAGTAGATATATAGTGAAGATTCTACATTGTATGGAAATGACAGAATATTAGGTAGATCAATGACAAGAGAGTGGATCAGGAATAAAGGGGA